TAGGGTTTGCCGTTTAGGGTTCAGGATTCGGGGCAAGACTTCCGGGCCTTCTTTATGATCCCCTCCCCTAATATTAAACCTCCCCATCCCCCTAATATTAAATACTCCCAATATACCATAGTAAACCACAACGGGAAGTATTTAAGATTAGGGGGGGTAGGAGGGTGTAATATTAGGGGGAGAGGATTAGGCCACCCACCCATGCCTCATGGAATAAATCCCCTTCGCAGGGAAAGGTTCAGGTCTTGGTGCTTAGGGGCCTCATGATCAGCCATGCAGGGCTTGGGTGCAGGGTTCCTCAGCATCATGTGGGGCCCTGAAATGGTTATGAGGCGCATCAGGCACTTTTTGAAACAGAGACAAAGAAGGCTCCCATGTGAAGATCAAGCACCGACGCACATACGTGCCTTCATACACGTTCGCAGAATGTTTCAACACGGGGGCGTTCCATTTGTGCCCCAAGCACTTCCACCTGTGCCCCAAACATTAAAGTTTTCGGCCTTATCATAGCGATCCCGGAGCGAGTGGAAGCTCCATGTGACTCAAAGCTCCCGCGCTTTATGTAACATAAGGGGTCTAATACATGGGGGTCTAATACATGTAGCCGCGCTTTGGTATCCACTGTGCTAGAACTCGAAGTTTCCCAAAATTGGGGGGTACTGTTCTGGGGATACCTGTAATAAGGATTAGAGTATTTTGGGGGGTCTATACTGGTATCCCCTTGTTTTGGGAAACTACCATATCTGATTTACATCACTAGGGAACAGTAGTGGCAAGTCTTCAGGCTTCGACATCAGCTGAGCTATACTCTAAACTCCTAGTATTCCCCTTTAGAATCCCAATAATAGTGCCCCTATAAAACCCCCCTTCAGGAGTTTAGACCCTAAACCCCTATATAATCCCCTCTACAACCCCCCGCCCCGTTTAAGGAGTTTAGACTACGTATGGCTCACCTCACCAACTTGAGTTTTGAGTTGTTGGCTTAGCCGTGTAGACTTGAGGATAGCTCAGCAGGGAATTTAAAGATTATATAAGGATATTTTACGGATAGATTGGGTGTAGGGTTTGGGGGGTTTAGGGATTAGGTTAGGCGCTGAACTCGCAAACTCACAGACGCAACTTCGACTAGGTCCTGCCCCTAAACCCTAATTCCTAAACCCTACACCGAGCACCGTAAATCCGCTTGCCAGGCTCCGTGCCTGCGTAGTCCAGGGCGCGTTTTCCTTCGCGATCCCGGAGCTCCTTATATGAGCCATAATCTAAACTCTTTAAAGGGGGGTTATATAGGGGCTTATATAGGGGAATATTATAGTTTCCCTAAATATCGGGTTTATATAGGAATAATGGAAAAGAAAATGGAAACTACTATATTGGGGTTATATAGGAACAGTACTGATAGTCTAAACTCTTTAAAGGGGGGTTATATAGGGGACTACTATAGGGATTATTAAGGGGGATACTAGGAGTTCAGATTATAGCTCATATACCCCTAAAGTAACCCCAACATAACCCTAATATAACCTCAATAGAACCGCAGTGTAACGGGCAAAGCTGCTGTGCGCCGAAAGACCAGCAGACGGGTACAGTATATTGGCGTTGTTTTCGGGGCAATATTGGGATGATGGCGAAAAAACGGAAACTACTGTAATGGGTTATATTGGGGGTAATATTGGGATAATGAAAACTCAAATGGAAGCTACGCTTTAGGGCTTCGGGTATTTCATTACATGCAGCAGCAGGCTTGGCGAAGCAATGCTCAGGACGTATCTTGGTCCTTGCCTTGCATGCGAAAATCACTTGCTGCCAAAGGTGCAAGATCTGCCTGAGCCACCAGGAGCAAGTCAAGGACCTGATGCAATTTTGTATTTGAATTTAACCGGGTCCCGGTTCCAAGTGTTGCTGAGAAAGCAGCAGATGGCAAGTGCGAGATGCCGTTGACATATTCCACCTCAGCACAACTTTGTATTGACCCACTCTCGGCATCACCATTCTCTTTGCTTGGCCTGCGCAAATTCTTCTCCTACTGAAATTCTTGCTGCCGCAGAATTTTTGCCAAGATGATTCGGAGCACGGCTAATTGCTGAGTCAGTGCGCCGTTTTGAGCACATTAGAAGCTAGCTTCGCAAGCAGGCCGAGGGTCTGGCCATTGGAGCAAAGTTGTGCCGAGCGCGTAGGGTGGCGTTCTTCTGCGTCGCGAGGATGAGGGCGCTGTGGCCATCTGAGGTTGTCAAAAGCTACTTAAGCATGAGGGTACCGACAGTGACTGTAACAAGGGCAAAGTTCACCGTTGCAGCAAGATGCAGCAGAAGTCCTGCTAGTAGTTTTTGTCTGCCCTAGCCTTCAGATTTCTGACCGGATCCCATGGGTCAATCTGTACACGTCCGCTGTAAGACAGCAACCGGTGCAGGGTGAGCGAAAGCTCCCGGTTGTCGCAGAGCAGGACTCGAAAACCACAGGAGCCATGAAGGTGGAAATATGCCACATCAGGTGTTTATGTTTTTTTCCGGGTTTGCGGTATCTGTTGGGGGACGTCTTTTGTTTGGCAAAAGCGCATGCCTCCGCATCATGTTTAACAGGGCTTCTGCTTGTGGGCAAATGGAAGGAAGTAGGTCAGCATGCGCCATTCTCGAGCCCATTCCTGTGCTCAACACTGTAACTGTACAAGTATAGCCAGCCAGCGCACTGGCACCAGCAGCTCACTTTCTGGCATCGCATGCGCTTGGCCCGCGTGCACTGGCGCCAGCTCACTCGCGTGAGGATTTGGCCATGTCCTTGAGGAACAGGCAGCCAAAGCGATCTTTCTCAAGCTCAGCTTTCCAGGGTTGGATGAACTGTTCGAACTCCCCAGCCCTCCAGGTAGCAGACCAGCGCCGATCCTGCAGCACTGTCTTCGCCACATGGCGGCCGTACTGCGTCTTCGCCAACTCAAGGATGCTCTGGGGGTCAAGAGTGCAAATCATGGTTCCCTGATCTTCAATGCTGCAGCTGGACAGAACCTTCTCAACTAGGTAGCTGGAGTTCTTGTGCTTCGCAAAACGCATAACATCTGCAAGCAGCGTGTCGGCAATCACGTGCTTGTGCCGCTCCTCACCATGCTCCATGATAGACTGGACGACATGGTGTGCGAAGGAGTGGCAACATAGGTGCCACAGTTCTGACATCAGCTCGTCCATGAGCTCGCCAACCTGAGGGTTGGTGCTGCAGAACTCCACAAGACGGCACAAGGTGCGGCACCCCATGCAGTTTCTCGCCACAACCGCGGCAGAACCCTGCATCTCCTCCACGATGAAGGCAGAGCTGGCTACGGAGAGCTGCGCAATAGCCTTCTGAACGACATAATTTGCATGGGAATGCTTAACGGCTTCCAGGATGTGGCCACGCAGCTCCAATGAAATGGTGGCCGTCTCACGACCAGCCTTCTCCAGAGCCGTTTGCACCAACCGGCAACCTTCCTTGTGCTGAGACAACGGCCACACATGGCCTATCAAGTGCTGCAGATCAAAGCCCTGCTCCACCCGGTGCTTTAGATCATCCCAGCGGCTTTGGGACTCGAAGTTGTAAGCCAGGTCCTCATCGCCCGCCTTGGCCTTGCGCTCTGCGGCACGCTTTCGGCGAAGACGTCTGGCCGCTGAAGCCGAGGTAGCCTGGGCATGGCTTATGTCTTGAGCCTTTTCAAAGCGCGGGGATGCCTCGGACGGGGCTGTGGAGACCTCTGAAGCTTCAGAGACCTGAGCTTGGCAGCACTGCTCAACTGCGTATGTGTCGCCCCAATACCCATCCAACAGAACTTCTGAGGACGGACATGCCATTTGCGGTTGCACCTGCTGCAGGGGCAGCTGCTGCGCAGGCTGTGGCATCTGCACAGGCTGCCGCTGTTGCACTGGTGCTACTGCAATCGCCGGCAGGTGCTGCACTGGCATCATCTGGGCCATCTGTGGCTGCAGTGGCAGCTGCCAACATACGTGGCTGAAGCCCTCATTTGGGTTTGCCGAGGCCTGGTAGAAGCCCATCTGATCCGCGGGGACCATGCAAACGGACACCACTGGCATTGGAGTGAACTCCTCCTGCCTGAAACCCCAGCTCTGCTGGGATGGCACCATCTCGGGCGATTGCAGGTCAAAGGATCTACCAGATGGTTTGCTTGAGCTACAACTCAACCAACTCACACCCTTCCAAAACATCATCAGCGACTAGCAGACACCTCAGAAAGATTTCATGAAGTGGGGAATTGTCGTCACAAGCAGATGCTCAGCTCCCAGCCCTTGTTTTGCAGATTCACGTCCGCGTCAGAGTCTAGCAATACCTCCCGCTCTCATGCGAAATAGCTTCCAGAATGGAGGATCCCTTTTTGGGTACACCTTCATCATGATGTAGCGGGCCCATCTCTACTGCATGCTTTTAAAAACTACTGTAGCGCGCGCAATGTACGGCATCTCTCACCCCTTGCCACATCTTGTGCACGTCCTCATGGCCTGGTTTTGAAAGTCTTTATGTTAATCAGTTGAGGAGTCGCCTCTGCATGCTCGTCTGGGTGGGGCACTTGCACTGCATCCACGTGATCGTCAGCAGCTGCGTACATGAGGGCCGTCATGGCACCTCCACCCTGGAGTCTGGAAACTCTTTTACACGGGTTGAGACGATGCAGAACATTCAAGATGGCCAGGAACATATGACAACCTCTTGGACGAGAAAGAGGTCTGCGACGTGAGTTGATGCTCGTCTGTGGCCAAATATGTGTTTGTTCCAAGTGAGGCAGGAATTCGCACCAACCGCCAGCAGCTGCCTTTGAGTTGATGTCAGCCTTCCCGTCCACCAGCACCTTTACTGTCGGCGCCGCCCCATTCCTGACAGACTGGAAGAATTGACGAGATGAAGCAACGAATGGCAGGATTTTAGGTCATGGCCCCCAGATTGAACACAAAAATCTCACACTCTTACCAAACAACATAGCATGAACCCTACTTCACATAATGGAACGGAAAGGGCCAGAAGAAACGGCCACAAAGCATCACAACCGCTGCTGCTTGGAGACTGATAGCTCGGACATGCTCAGACTACCAGTAGCGCTCAAACAAGACCCCCAAGCCCAAACTCATGGTAAAAATCAGGGATGTCCTGCAGCTGCTACCCTGAAAGCACAGGAGAACCATCTGACTTTGTGCATAGCTAGTCTCTTGGCTGCCAGGAGCAGCGCACTCATCCCGTGCCTGTGTGTAAGAGTAATGCAATAGAAGTCCATTGAAACACGATTCTTTTTGAGAAGCTAGGGAATGTAGACTCGATAGTTACGCCTCCACAGCACCCACCTCTTCCTAAAATGCAGGGGCACCCTCTTGACGTATCTCAATTTTGGACTCACAGTAGTAAGGAGGTCACAGTAGCATGGTCGAACTTCAGAACATGAAATCTTTAGGCAAGCTTGTCCACTAAACTTCAGTCTGGCAGGCCGCAATTTGGGGCACAACCATGTTACTGCAGGTTTCTCCGGAGCCATAGGTACTGCTGAGCTAGGCGACTTTGCGCCGCTGATTGGGGACGTCCAACACAACACGTTTTCTGCTCTAAATTGCTAGATGGTAAAGTCCGCGCCAGAAAATCAGCTCCCTTTGCTTCTGCAGGAGGAAGGTAAGATGGGGCCGCAGGCTTGTAGATTGTAGATGGTGCCCTAGCTGTGCATGCCAAGATGCCTGGACTTTTCGTTGGGGCTGGCCTGGCTGGCCACATCATTGCGGGAACAGCTCCATCCAATCAGGAACATCTTTACAAAGCAGTCTCTGAAGGGGCTACCACAACCGAGCTTGGTGGGTGTGACCTTGCCCAGTGTGGTAAGCATGCACTCCCGTAATCAGAGCCGAGGCCTACTTCAGGACAAGAGCTATGACCTGAAGAGGGTCTGATACCTCGTCTGCTCGTGCAAGTTCTAATGACATCGTTGGGATCCCCCACTATGAGGCTGACAGGTGTCGAACCTGGGAGAAAGCGTGTGGCCCCTATCGAATGTCCACACTTACAGCTACCGATGCACAACAAAACCCAACAAGACCCATGGATAACCCCTTCCGATGTGGTTGAGGGTGGTGCAAATCACAGTCGCTGGTGTCGCTGGCGGGCCTGGTGCGCTAGAAGCAGTCGAACTACCTCTTTCGCGTTGCTGTCGGCGGCGAACATCAACGCTGTGACGCCGTGGTTGCCTCGAGCCGCAGAATGAGCGATACATTTTCGTCAGGATGACCGTCTTCGTGTTGGGTGCTAGCGTGACGTTTTTATACTTACAGGACTTGTAGGATTGGCATGGCTATCATCTGAACAACCCCTGCAACGCTGCCAGCATAACTTGGAACTGAACAAACCACAGGGAGAGGACTCCTGTCGAGCTGTAGCTGGACAACACGTCGAGGCATCTTTCTTCTTGGTGGTATTGTTGGGCATGAGGCCAGATGGATGTCGTGGGATCAAGAGCTCCATGCTGGGTCAAGTAAGTTCTAGATTCTAGATCAATGAAAGTTTGCCGTACAAGCAAAGCAGAAAACTCCGGGTGGAGGCGGGTTGTCACTAACTTAAGCGGAGGCTTTTGTTGAAGCCTGAAATATACACTTGCCGGCTAGCCATGCGAGTTTGGCTTATATCGGCATGTCCCAACGCCTGCTGCGCTTTCACGCTCGCGCTGGGGCCGTGGCTTTTCAAATTGACATCTGCTCTTCTTTCGAGGAGAAGGCGTACCTTTTTGACTCCCAGAAATGATTCTCACCATCATGGCCACCATGGACTGAACGAATTATGAGAAATATCCTCCACTGCTTCATGTACATCATCAGTTTAAGGAAAGAAAGCACCGCGCAGAAGTTGGGGCACACAACCAGCTGCGGCGCTTCTGAGACCACCATTTCACAGAACTCCTACGACCTCCATTGGACCTCAAGTCCACAATACTTCTTTGTTGCTCTTTCCGTAAAAATGCTACCGGCCCCCCCACGCAGGGCACACTGATGCCCTGAGCCCTGTGATGTTTCGACCGAAAGTCTCTGCAAGACAGCAAGTGCCTGAATCTTTTTTCGCTGGGTAATGGGCATCTGATCCCTATATGAAACCTGTATGATGTATTCCCTTTTTCCCTACTATAACGCCAATACATACCCTATCATAATATAATAGTTTCCATTCCTTTTCGAATATCCCTATATAGCCACTATTTTTCCTCAATCCCTGCAGTTTTTAGCGCCTTAACCACAAACCGCATCAACCGAAGCAAATTTCAAGACACCATCTTGGCGTTGTCCCATTGCGCCGTCCACATCAAGCAGGACTGGCCAGACCTGCGGCTGGCCAGGGCTCAGGAAACCACGGGACAAGGTTTAGGGTTTAGGGTTTAGGGGTTCAGGGTTTAGGGGTAGTTTAGGGGCTCATCAAAGATATTGGAGGAGAGGCCTTACAGTCAGTCACCATGTCATTCAACAACGCCAATTCTGAACATGGTTGTCCTCCCACCCTTACATACATTGCGTAGCAGCTCTATACCCCCCGCTGGAATCAGGGCTTGAAACGGTTCACATGACGTGCACCGGCAAACAAGAAAGACCCGTCGATTTTTCTTTCGAAGCGCTGTAGCAGCATCCCGCCTGTCTTGCTTGTTCACATCCTTAGCGTGCAAGTGCATTCCTCCACAGCTCACTAAAGGCCTGGGAACTCATATGAACAAGCCTTACATGGCAACAGTGGCCTGAAGCAGTTGCAACATGAGGTGGTGAAATTGAAAGTGGGGCGCTGACAGCGGCCAGAGCAGTAGGTAGTATGTATTACACTAATGCCAGAAACTAGCTCACTCTCCACCCTACCCATCCCAACCCTTTGTAATAAAACCCAGCCCGGCGCCGCTAATGTTAAATATTCACCGCGATAATGTGCTGGTACTTGTTTGTTACTATTCATTACTATGGAAATGGGGAGCCGTGTGGAGAGGTAATTCATCTCTCCTTATGTAACTCCTATACAGCACCAGTTTCCATTTTGCTTTGCGCATTTTCTATTCAAGTTGCTTCTCCATTCTAGTAACTTTGAAGCCCGAATCCCTATAAAACTTCACTTCTCACCGCCTTATCCTCCTAACCTGAACCCTAAACGGTAGCTTCCATTTCTTTTCCATTCTCCCTATATAGCCCGTATATAACCCCTATGTTGCCAACCCAATTATTGAGGCCCCAAACCCTAAACCCTAAAACCCTAAACCCTCAACCCTAACCCTCAACCCTAAACCCTAAAACCCTAAACCCGAAACCCTAAACCCTAAAACCCTAAACCCTATAGGGGATGGACTACCAAGGCGCGGAGCCCACTTTCAGCAGCCTCTCTACCTCCGGCCAGTCCCGCGCGCTCGCCGCTAGGACTAATGCCATGGCAGCGGGACTGAATGCAGGAGGCTATCAATAAGTGTGACTGTGCCCGCAGCCCACCGCGGTCATGCGAAGGACTCTTAGGTTCGAGTACACTTACAATTTTGGGGCTGTTCCAGGTTTAGGGCAGGAGCATGCCAAAAACATTGACTTGATCATGTGCCAAGCTCTCTTCATCTGTTCTTCTGGGCCTCGTTGTGGCACATATGCATTTGCGCCTCATAACAAGCCTAGCTTCAAGGCTTCAAGCACCATTGAATATGCGGGTATGCTACTTCATTCGTTAATTGAGGCTCAATGGCTGCAACTCTGTCTAGGTATCTAACTGTTATCATGTTACAAGCACAGGCAGTAAACTGACACGAACATGGCCATGCAAGTATAGAGCTTTGTTTGACATACAAAGCCCGGATGTGGGTGGTTCTCATAGTTAGGATCCATTTTGGTACCCCTAAATATGCTGCGTAATATAATCTACAACCCAATTGGGCCAGTACTTTTGATTACAGTAGCTTCCATGTTCTTTTCCATCATCCCTGTATAAGCCCTATATAACCCGTATGGTAGTCCCCATATAACGACCCGAGGCCAGAACCCTTCAAGAACACCTCTCTTAGGCTTTTTATATGTACATATATAATACATATACATATACACATATATATGTAAATACAGAATCAAATGGAAAATGACATGGAATCTGGGCTTATATAGGATTTGTCAGGGATGAGGACTGCTTACCCTACACTCAGAAGCAGTGACTCGCACAGCCAATTCCAAAAGCCGCTTCTCACTGAGACCACGTCTGTTCTCGCCTGGGTCCAAGAGACAAGCACAAAGGAGCTGCTGAGCTGGGATGTCAGGGTCCACCCTAGGTTGGTATAGGGTATAGCGTTTAGGGCATAAATCCCGCCATCTCGAACATGGTCATTTGGCATAGCTGGACTCTACTCAAGGATTAGAATTTTCTGCTGGCACAAGAATGTACACGACTTGGTGAAGTGATTCTCACCGTACCCCAAGGAACCCAACTCTTTTTGCCTTTCGGGACCCTATCGTAGTAGACAATGGGCATCATCAAGATAAGCAAGATTGGAGACAGGCAAGAGGTGAAAGCGGAGCTAAGGGTGTTCCTTACCAATTTCAATTGTGTTTTCAAGGGCTGCTGATAGTGGCCACAGAAAGAGGATGCAAATGCGAGATGCCAAGATGGCACCAACTCTAAGAAATGCTGCGAATGGTTGGAAGGCTACAGCAACTCCAGTGACTCCAGTGGACGTAAAGATGCCAGTATCGCTGCTTCGGGAAACAATGGTGATTGCACCGTCTGTCAAGAAGTGCTTGAACATTTAAATGCTGCCACGGAGCAAAGCAAATTCCATCACTTAATGGCCTGCGGCAGACCATGCACAAGTCCCACATCCATGGTTCGGGCTTCGTTCCTAAGCCTGGAAGCCTACTCCATACGAAGAATACATGCAACGTTAGCTCATTTATTGCTCCACGCAACGCATGGCAACTATCCCCTGGCCTCAGAGGTGGTATGGGTATAAGCCAATCAATGCCTCGGAGCAGCCGGTGGAGAAGGGCAACATGTCATATTCAATATAATATGCCAGCATCTTGGTGCTTCTCCGGGGCTCAGGGAAATTGCCAATTCAAAGCACCTGGACAGAACCCTTGGATAGCACGAGCAGCTTCCTGGCTGGATGGTTAGGTGATTTCCTGGAGCTTCAGAGGACTGCCGGTGGCAGCTTTGCCTCAGGGATTACACCGTAACAAGGCCAGATTTCAAACAATTCAGCGTCTGCAAGAAACTACGTCAGATTCGAGCTCCCCTGGAAAGCAAAGCCAGCAGGGGCATGAATGGAGTGTCTCTGGTGTTCACTTTCAAGTTTGGGAGTAGCAAGTAAAACACGTACAGCCAAACCCCGCTTGCGGGATGGAAAGGCAGGTGCAAACTTATCTTTTTAAACTTGTCATTCGAAACACGCACGCAACCCAACTCTGCCTTCATCGACCTCATCTTGTCTGCCCGGCTAAGACTGGAAATCTGCATGAACCCTAAATCTAATAAGACTTTCAGCCAGTATCTTTTGACACGCCGGCACGTGCGAGAGTCACGGGCAACTTGACGGCACTCCGTCCATGAGAGCTGTCGGAGTCGGAGCTAACGAGCTTCAACCGCTCAAGGGGCGCCACACCGGAGGCCAGCTCAGGAATTTGGGCCTGATGCACCTTGTGCATAGTTGAGGGCTGCTTCCAGATCGGCAGCAGTTGTTGCTCAGGGTACGGTCTTGCAACCACCCTTTGCATCCTGCTCAGCCAGAATATCCCTCACTTCGGTCAGCACCTTCCCAAACAAGTTCTTGCCGCTTCCATCGCCACCGTCGCCCCACTCTGCGTCAGCGCAGTGCTCCACGAAAGTGGCCTGCTAGCATGGCAGATATTGGAGCTGTCGGGTCCCATATAAAGGTTTTTGCAAGAGTTGGGGGGCCCTTTTTGGGGGCTCCCTGCAACATATTCAGGTATCCCTGCGAAGGCTTCCGAAATTTGCCTATCCCCACGAGGCTGGATCTCTGACAGCCGATTTCAATCCCTAAAGCATGGTAGTTTCCCAAAATAATGGGGAACTAATATAGACCCAGATTACTGTAATCCTTATTATGGGGACCCCCAATAATAAGGTACCCCTAATTTTGGGAAGCTCCAGGACTCTGAAGCTGACAGCACAAAGGCAAGAAGAAGCCTTTACCACCCCGGCAAAGAACATGAAGACTTCAGATGTTCCAGGCTTCTTTGGGGGAGGGTACAAAGCGGTGGCCTCCAGAGGAAAGTCCTTCAGCATCTTTTGCTTCAAGTCTTTGTGCTGAGAGAACTTTGCCAGCACGGCGGTCCTTCATCGACATGTATTTACAGGTGTGATTGTACGGCTTCTTAAGACTATGGATCCTGTCTTGGTGATCCATCTCCAGCAGGACTAGAATTTCAATTTCAGAGCGTAGATGGGCGGAGCTAGTTTGGTCTTTAGAAGCCCCACATAGACCCTGCATCATCCGGATCATACCACACCTGCAAATTGCGTAAGACCCGCCAAGCAAACGCTCACGATCCACTTTTCATGTCGTACAAATCCTGCCGATCGCTTCTCCTACCCGACATGCGGGTGAAGTCCCACCCTCCCTTGCACGAACATGGAACCGCATATGGACCCTTTTCAGAAAGTGAGACCTTTGGGGAGCGTCAGTCCCATACCCCCTTCACCCAAAAGCCAAGTGACCCAAAGCCTAGACTTCAAAACCTGAATCTTGGGTACTGCCCCCCCCTCAGTAACAGTTGGATAATTAATATAATATGGTTATATATAGCCCTTAATAGGACCCCTAATATGGACTGTTACTGGGTGGGGGCAGTACCCAACCTAACCCCAAACCCTAAACCCTAAACCCCAAAGTCCCGATCCCCAGGCCTCATCACCGAGTATTTCACCTCCTCCCAGTCTGGCCGTAGCTGCCCAGTCCTGCCAAGCCGCTTTGCCCGGAAGTTGCTCTCCACGGAGTTCCCAGGCCTTAGCCAAGGGTCTATACTTAGAAGACTGTAGTCCATATGGAGGAAGCCGTCCTATAAAACAGCTTTCTTGTAATTATATAGATATATATTTGCGGCAAACCTGCTATGGCAACCCCTCTTAAGGGATACAATTCCGAGTCTCCCAAACTGGGGAGCACCTTTTGGAGACACTGGGCACTTTGGACACTTGCGTTTCGGGCACGGAATTAGGAGATTATGGGGGCCCTTCCGAATGAGTGTCAAAGGGACCTTCAAAATAGAGGTTCCCAATCAGAAGCGTGATGTGCACTTTCATAGAAGACCACCTTGCCAAGCAATTGAAAGCTCAAAAATCAATATGGGCCACGTGAAAACATCACTAACCTGAAATACGGCCTTTTGCAGCACGTATTCATGCAAAGTACCATTAGGTTTGAGATAAGGCAAGGTGACCATAATTTGCTCGGAGACGAGGTGTCCCTTTTCCGGCAAAACAGCATCTAAGCCAGCAATTTGAAACTTGACGTATTGGTGCTCATGATTGGTGCGTCAGGGAGGGTGGGTAGCGGATCCTGATATAATGCCCTGGAACATTCACGGCCCCCCTCCCGTTTACGTACCAGTACATTGAGTCAGCAATGAGCAAGGAAAGATACTACTTAGATGACGCCAAAAGCCAGGTTCAGCATACGCACGACGCAACTTAGCGTCAACTGCCGCATGCTCCAAGCCAAAAGGCAAAACATCTAGACTCTCAGACTGTACACTTCTACTAGATCCTGAAGTCCAACCCCTCCTCTTAAAAACACCCTCCCACTAAAATGAATGTTCCAGTGTTCTGCAACCATGCTTTCTAGATTTTTTTGTAGGGTCGCTTGCCTCTTCAGGGGTTAGCGGATGTTTATTCACAGGGACTGGTGAGTACAGAGCTGTCAAACCCGCCAGGGGGCAAAGAGCGAATCTCCTCAGTCATTTCTGGGGAGGTAGTCGCGAACTTTTGCGCTTGAAAGTAATGCTCCGTGCTGGGCCACCTGGCTATGGGGGTATAATTACTACTACTACTACTACTACTGCTGCTACTACTACTACTAGTACTACTACCACCAGTTTTGCTATTTTCATTATTGTGGTATCCCTTGAGGCTCCTGGGCAGACCTACTGGACTCCATGGGCCTACAGGATCCCCACGCCATCACACCAAGCACGCGCCTCAACCCGTCAACCTCAATAGGGTACCCAGCACAGCACAAGTTGTCCAGCCATTGCAGCTCCTTGATGCTATTCATGAGGTGGACAAACACGTTGGGGTCTCTAGCTCTGTGGGGACGGGTTGCCTGAATTGCTGTTCGCCAACTACGGACCCTAGTGTAGGGACCCAGAAAGTTAGAAACGGAAGTGTAGGGACACGTGCCGTGGAAATTTGAGGCAGCTCTGCATCACAAGCACCCCAAGATTGCTGAACGTCATCCCATTGCTGAAACCTGAACTGTATGCCCTGTAAAACCTACCTACTCACAAAAAAAACCAATCAGTCCGTGACGATTACGGGGTGGGCGTACTCTTAGGTAATCCGTAGGTACCCATATAAATGTATACTTGAAGGCAGATGCACATATCTCCACCCCACCGCCCCAAAAGGCCCGATATGCCACTTGCATTCCCATTACATCGTCCCCCCGTTCTCTCCCTTAACCAGCGGAATTCTTGGACCAGGCTCTGGCATTTGACCATTGAAGTAGATGATCGGTTTGGATCCAGCAGCCAGTGCCATGGGTGCGCCCAAGGAAACGGTGTTGGACTAGCGAATGCGTGGGGTACATGCTAGTACCTGCTAGTATGATAAAAGCGACAAACTAGCATGTTACTCTAACTTGTCAGTGCTCTGCCTAGGCGACAGGTCAGAGTGGAGCGCCCTGATAGCACCACGACATACGCCAGTGGGAGTTGTGCTAGCAAACCTATCTGGATCTGGGAATCACGGCAGATGTCTCTCAAGTTGGGTCGGTAAGAAGGAAGGTAACAAAGCTTCGGTGCACTCATATGATAGGGAACAAGTCCTTATCCACCAGAGCGCCTGTTCTAGACGCGATATTCAATCGAGTATTGCTGGACGTCAACTAAAAGCTTACAGCCCATGATTTGTAATGTCATGCCAATGTCAAAGTATGTCAAAGTCGCCGCTTGCCAGCAGGACGGACCACCAGGACATCCTTCTGTTGCATGCGTGGGTTCTGGATCAAAGGAAAAGATCCCCCCCTTCCTGCACAAACTTGCATCTGGATTGCAGCAACTCATCCCGGCCAGATCCCTCAGCAGGCCCCGTAAAACGCCTCAAGTGCCCAAGGAGACCTTGAAAGCGAAGGACCCGTTCTTCGGACACAATTTGAGATGTCAACACTAGCTGACATGAATCATGAACATGCTGAGCGAGTGAATGAAAGGAGCTGCAAAGAACTACATACCACAATCCCATCAACGATAACCTAGCTAGCTTGCGTCACCTGACTAGTACAGACCCATGATCTTGGATTGTAATTGTGTCCTTAATACAAACCACTACAAATCAGACTATAAGCACTTTGCAGGGGGCCTAAAACCCCTCAATACCTGCTAAGGATACGTGCTCCGGCTTCAACCTTCGAATTAACACCGCTAACCCCTAAACCCTACTCAGGCGGCTACCAGGACTGCCGAAGATCTGCGCCATGTTGGCCAGACGACTGCCCTGGTCGAATGGGTTGGGCCTCAGCATGAGGTTTGGGGTTTAGAGCTTTGGGGTTTAGGGTTTTAAGGGGTTTAGGGTTTGGGTTTTAGGGTTTGGATTTAAGGTTTGGGCTTTAGGGCTTATAGGGTTTAGGGCTTAGGCACGCGCTCAGGGTTTAAGGTTTGATGCGTGTTGGCCGTGTTGGTTGGATGTCCAGATCTTCAAAAGGAGGATCTCAGTAACCCCAACGTGAAATTGGGCCACATTACAGTCATATAGTAGTTGTAGGATCCTTCTTACAGGTGGCGCGGTACCTAACATCCTCTTTTTCTTCTTGGTAGGCCAATTACATTCCTAAACTCAAAACCCGGAGCCTCTACTGTTCTAAGGATCTCCAAGTTGTCAGACGTTGGGGGGCCTGAGGCATCTGTGCTCCATGAGGACGCATCCTGTTTTGAAACCCAAGCTCACACAAGTACTTCCACAAAGCAGAGGCTTTGAGGCCACATGGTGTGCCGCAGAAGAAAAGTTGATCAACGAAATGATTTGTTCCATTCGAGTCCAAAGAAAGCGTGGCACTTTTTACATGAGAGCTTCCAGGCAGCTTTGGTAGAGGTTCCTTGCATGTCTCACAGCTTCCAAGAAACCAACTTCCTTCAACCCTTGTTCTCAAAATGGCAGTGCTACTCATTGAAGTCAGGTCTGCAACGAGATTGAGAGGGATAGGCTGGGACCCGTAGCCTGACACACCAACTGAGAGCGGCACATGTTGTCGTAGTTGGATTCAATCATTGTCACATTATCCAGGAGATTTGGTAACTCGGATACAAGCAAGTTTGCAAACATGAGCTCTGTGCAAAGGCACAAGAAGTAGCGCACCATTTTGGGGTTGTAGAAGTGGGGAGGTCTATGGGGACAAGAGGACCGGAAGCTTCACTTCTGGCCACTTAACCTCCAAGATATGCGCTGATGCATCTGAGGCGGGCACGTGGGAGCAGTTCAGAGGCACGAGCAGAGCATTCGCTGCCATGACCACGCATCCCAAAAGAAGGAACTGGAATACATAAGCATCGTCGAGGCCTTGGCTCAGATGCCAGGGGTGACAGTGGAAAGGCATGGCGCTGGTCGAAATTACATCTCTCTAATGGCGCAGTACTGAAGGTCTCTTGGATTTCCAACTGCGGATGGGCATGCGAAGGTTGGTGGAAACAGTTAGCAGCTAGCAAAAGGACAGGGAAAGCGAACAAGTGCGTAAGTAGCTAACATGACCTCATGGCAGAGACTCCTATTGCGAAAATAAGGTGATGCTCACCCTCAATACGGATAGTGCTGGCAAGAGGCTTGTTGCCTGCAGCACGTGTCACATGCCATGCGTCGGATACGTGGCACTCAATGAGCATTGCGCTGTCACAAGACCGAAAAACATCACAGTGTGCTGCAGCAGGGAACAAGAATCCAGCGTGATGGAAGCAAAGAAGATGTGGGGATTTCGGGAAAATCGGGTCCCTTTTGGGGTTTTCAAATAATGAGGACTATACTATACCGTTGGAGCGTGTAGTATAATCAGGACCCTTTTTTGTTGGCCCCGTTTTTTGGGCAACTCCTATGTGTGTATTGGGATATTTGCTTCTACAGCACCACGGGCAAAGGCATCATTGAATTTACACTCCAACCCTGCAGCAGGCACCCTAGAAAGGGTCTCTGTTGCGAAGCTCTGATGCAGCTGGGAGGTCATGCAGCAACACGTGCGTGCCTTCTCATATCTATATGAAGTCCAATGGCTATTCTCATCCGACCTCAGCCAAAAACTCGAGGAGGTTCAGTTTCAGGGGCTGATAACAGAGGTGATTGAGGATTGCCCGATGCTTGCTACAAGGCTTCTTTCAGTAGTTGGACTGTTTTGGGCTGAGCACTTGGGAGAGTGCTATCCCACTCCCACAGTTGCTCTGAAGAGCCAAAGAGAGGTGAGTGCCCGACCAGAATTGCCACTTGTCCTTGAAGTAGATTTTCAGAGGAAAACCTGCAGTCTGTCATCACTGCTGCCCGGGGCTAATCAGAGCCTAGTATGGATGCCTACCATTCTTCCGAGCACGGGTGAACCATACCGCAAACCGCGCATCAAAAAGGACCGGCACAAGCCCTGGAACAACGTTGTAGCAGCAACTTCAGGAGTAGACTAAGTAGATCAAAGCTCCCCAAAAGTACTGCTTGGCTCCTGTAACTCGGCCCACTTGCCGCAAGTCTGGGATCAAGCGTGATTTGACCTTAGAAGCTCTTATACATAAAGCCTAGCGGCCTAGCATTCGTACCCGCATGATTATGCAGCACTTTTCAAATGAGTTTTTTTTTCGTGGTTCAACCTAGTAAGATTATATTCCTTATAACCAATACTAGAACCCAAAGGAGGATATAATGGGTACCATAGTATCCCCAAGTGAAATACTACTCAAATGGCACTGGGATGCTAGGACCTTGCTAGGACTGCTAGGAACTCAGGGTATCATCGTAGAGCTTCACCCGGCCTGAGTCCTCGCCTATGAAGCAGAAGCCTTTGCAGGTTTTCCTTGGCCAAGTCACGACTGGCAGGTTTAGGGTTCTGTTGGGAGAATGGAAAAGAAAATGGAAGCTACTACAATGGGGTTAATATTGGCAGGTTTCGAGGTTTCACAGAGCTACTTTCGCCATATGGGTGTTTCCCAAAATTAAGGGTACCCTTTTGGGGGTTCCCATAATAAGGACTATAGCATACTATAGCATTTTGCGGTCTATATTGGGGTCCCCCTATTTTGGGAAACTACCATATTGGCTTCACCATGACTCCATCATCAAGTTTTAGCATCTTCGACCACTTAATTACCACAGCTGTTGCTGCTACTTGAATTGCGGTGGCTTCTGCAATCCGCAATAGTGATTCGTGCTTTCAGTTTAGAGCACCGCTTCACTAAAGAAATGACATGCGCATATCCAGACCTGGGAATCACGCATCTCTGCGCATCTTGTCTTGGCCTCACGGACGGTCATCATTTCTTCCTTGGGCACCAGAAGATCCAGAAGCCATGAGGCCACGTCTTAGAGAACACTTGATAAAGTCGGATCTTCACTGCCAGCACTCGGAAAACAAACGTGATAACAAGCAACCCCCCACAGCATTCTAAAGATGTGTTGCAACTACAACTACTCCAAATTGCAGGGCCCCCCATTGCAAAACACCCTGCAACTTCGCACATTTAGCTCCGCAGGTCGGATTACTGTTTTGAAACGAAGTAGAGCATCATAATATGATGGCACAATGAGCAGCTAAGACCTTTGATAAAGTGACAGCGAAGAGGCCAAACTGGGGCCCGAGTGCTTGCAGATTAACATCTCGTACAAGCTGGAGGACTTTCTAGCGGCGCATCTTCAATTCTGCTCAATACCTTGATGGGCTAATACTTTACAGGAAAAAGCAACGTGCTTGCAGCAGCAGCAGCATCTGCTTATTTATCCTGACAAATGATGAGCTGCAAAGTCGACATTCAAACACCTGACCAGAACAACCGCATGCCCCTGGCCTTAATGCGCATCTTACCAAGTCAGGCCTCT